AGTTGATTTTAGAAGTAATTTTTTACATATATCAAACTTATATAAATAAAATAATATATAATTTTATCAACAATTTTTTTTTATTTAATGAATATATTATCAATAATAATTATTAATATTATAAATAATATTAATTAAAAAAAAAAAAAAATAACTATACAGGTCTTTATTTATTTTTTATTTATTAAAAAAACAAAAAAATGTTCAGACAATTTTAATTTTTTATTTTTTTTTAAAAAAAAACATATAATATATACATATATTATATATCATTAAATACAATTTTTCATATCAATATATTTTTTTTATATTTATTTTAAAATATAAGGAATGGATAGTAATTTTTCTCAATGTGAAACTAAAAAAATTCTGAATTAATTTTTAAAATCACACATATAAAATACACATATAAAATTTGAGAATACTAAGTAAAAATAATAATAATATAGGGAAACTAAAATAAATCATATGTAAAAAAAATATAATAAAATAAAAATTTATTATTTAATAATATATTTTAAAATTAAATATTCACAATTTTTTATTTTTAATTTTTTAAAATACTTATATATTTTATAAATATTAAAAGAATATTATATTTTTATAACTAAAATAAATATTTTATTAACTATATATAAAAAAAAAAGAAATTAATAAAAAATGGTTCACCTTGCAATCAAATAAATTATAAAAATAGATTAAAATATAAAAAAAAAGGATTTTATAAACATATCTTTAGAATTATAAACAATAATATAATAAATTATATGAATTTCTATTATAAACATATATATTAAATATATATATATATAATGAAAAAATAGCTATTATAATAAAAAGCTCTACAAGTAGTATAATAATAAAACATATAATATAATTTATAATAAATGTTTATTTAAATATATACACGTTTGATAATATTTTTTATGAAAATAATATATAAAATATATAAATTAAGAAAGATATTAACAATATAATAAAATAAATAAAAACGCGATTATACAATATTTTATAAAGAAATAAATAAAAAAATAAAAAAATAAAATTAATTTCAAATAATGCATCAAAATACAAATATTTTTGCAAAAAGCTAAATGTCAAATGTGCAATTGATTATAAAAAATGATTGAAAAATATGAATATTTATAATAAATATTAATTCATTAAAACGAATTTATTTAGAGAAAAAATAACGGCGTTGTGAAATAATATGCATTTGTAAAAAAAATAATATCATCATGCAATGGATAGATGATATATCTTTGTGAAATATTTAAATTAAAAAACTAAATTTATTATAAAAAAAAATGAAAAAATATAATTAAATAGATAATCATAATATAGATTGTATATAAATTAAAAACAAAATGAATAAAATTACATATATAATTATTAATATTAATAATAATTAAAAAATTATAGATTTAATGTAATTTTACAATCAAAATCAAATCTATCAAAAAATAATTGAATAATTGACAAAAAATAAAAAATATGATCCAGTTCCCTTCCTCCTCTTAAAAAAAAATTAATTAATTTTTAATTTTTAGTTTTTTTTTTTTTTATAATAATTTAATATAAATTATGTGTATTTTTTATTTAAAAAAAAAAAAAAAAAAAAAAAAACCCAAATTCAAATACAACCATAACTTCTTAAAATAATAATAAAAAAAGGAAAAAATTGGTTAATTAAAAAAGATTTTTTTTTTTTTAAAAAATTTTGTTTTTTTTCAAAAATTTCAAAAAATTAAATCCAAAAAAAAAAAAAAATTGGGGGGGGGGGGAAAAAAAAAAAAAAAAAAAAAAAAATTTTAAATTTTTGGTTTTTTTTTTTTTTAAAAAAATTAAAAAAAAATATGGGGTTTTTTTTTTTTAAAAAAAAAAAAAAAAAAAAAAAAACCCGGTTTAAATTCCATCCTAAATTTTTTAAATACGATAATAAAAAAAAAAAAAAAACTTAGGGGGGGTGGGGGGAAAAAAAAAAAAAAAAAAAAAAAAATTAATATTTACAAAGATAAAAAACAAAAAAAAGAGGAAAAAAAATAAAAAAAATATAATAAACAAAATAATTATAAAAAAAATCCATAAGTAAAAAAAAAAATGTAATATATGATCTAATTGAATAATCCTAACAATAAAATATTATTAAATTCTTAAAAAGATTAATAATAATAAAATAACTCTATATAATAATAATAAGATACAAACTAAAACACAAATATAAATTAAACGACAATAAGTAATAAATAAAAAATTATTTTTTATTATAATAATAAAGAACTGCCTATAGGAAATTTCGAAAATTAATTATTTTATTAATATTAAAATTAAAGCATTATACCTTTAGATAATGTATAAAACCATTATGGACTATAAATTCCTCATCATTTGAATTTTGGTAATATGGATTTATATTATTAGCAATCAATAAATTCTTTTAATAATAATAATAATTAATATATAAATACATTTAATAATAATAATTCATTTAATAATAACTAAAACTAATTTAATAATAATAATTCTTTAGTATAGAATATTTTATAAACTTAATAATAATAGGAAATAAATAATATTAAAAAAAAAAAAGAAAATGTACAAAAATAAAATAAAAATAAAATAATAAGTGAGGAAATAATTGCATTAATTTAAAATTATATAGAGGAAGGTATTAATAATATAGAGATAGTAAAATTAATAGAAAACAATAAAAAAGTTTAAATATCTATAGGATATTTAAATAAATTAAGGAAAAATATTAATAATAAAGAAAAGAAATAATAATAAAAAAGCCTAAAGAAAATCTCAGATGAAAAAATAGAAAAAATAGTAGATTTAGCAGTAAATTAAGCTAAAAATATTACAGAAATTTCTCGTTTAACAAATCATTCAAAAATTACTATTTCTAAATATTTAAAAGAAAGGGGAATAGGAATATAAAAAGTATATAAAAATAAATATATATATATCTAAATAAAAAGATATGTATATATATAAAAAGCTTATATATATATATAAATATTTAAATATTTAAATATTTAAATTTAATAAAAAAATATATTTATATAGATACTTGGAAATCAAAATAATTAATAAGATATTTTAAATTATGATATAGAAACAGAAGATAAAATCATAGAATAGAAGTAATAAAAATAAATAATAAATACTTATATAAATAAATATCTTTGAAGTGCAGTATAAAAATGGCATAAATAAAAGTGATTTTTGCAAAAAACAAATACGGAAAATCAAATTAATATTTAAAGTTCTTTAATAGAGTAAAAAATGAATAAAATATAGATGGTTTAAGTTGGATTGGTTACAAAGAAGGAACAAATGTAAATGGGATTGGAAGTTTTATTATACTTATATGTCAGTGTGATATTAGAGTATTTAAAAATAGTTATTAACTGTAAAATTATCTAAGTAACTAATTCCCTAAAGAGTATTTTACTGCGAATTCTTTAACTAATTTGCATATAAAAGTAGAAAAATTTTGAGTATATTATTTAATTTTTATAAAAAAAGAATCGACATATTTATATTTTAATTTTTTATATCTTTTAATATAAAAATAAATAAATTCTTTTATTAAATTATTTTGAAAATTTTATTTATTTTCATTAAAATCTTAATAAATTTAAATATTTAATTAAATATATTTAAAAATATTTATATATATGATATATATATTCATATATGTATATATATTTAGTTTTTAATATATTAATTTTGTTTTATTCTAATTACAATTACATGATTAAATTTATTTATGCCTATTTCGAATTCGTATTTAAATAAATTAGAGAAAATCTAATTCTCCTAAAATATATTATATTTATAATACATTATTCATATTTTATATTTTTATAAAAAATTTTATTTAAAAATGTTTAATTTAAATATAATTTATGAATTTAATCTAAAATTTATAAAGTTTTTAACTATATAAATAATTTAAAAAGTAAAAATTATATAGTAAATTGTAAAATTTTTATTTTAATTTAAATATTGTTTTATATATTATTGTTTTAGATATTTTTATTAATATTTATCTAAAATTTCAAAATTCTTATAAAATTAATATTTTGTAAATCAGTAATCAGAAAAGCAACATAATTTATTCAATAAGTTTATTTATTAAAATTTTGTTTTTTAAACACATTTTTTGTAAATATTATATTTATATTTGAATGATCTTTAACAGAATAAAAAATAATAATAATCATATAGATAGAAATACATTCTGAAAAATTGATAAAATTAAGTTAGTCTATATTTTAATTTTTATATTAAAATTCAAATTTAATTTAGAAACAAAATAATATATATTATATTATATTATATTATATTAATATTAAAGTACATAATAGTAAATTATATTTTTTTTATTTAAAGAAAAAATTATATATTTAAGATTATAAAAATATTTAGTTAATATTTCGAAAATCTTTTAAATTATAATTTGAATTGAAAAAAAAAACATTTATAGATTTATTATTTTATAAAAATTAAATTAAAATTTATAGTAAAAAAATATCTTTAAGAAAAATTTTTATATAATATTTATTTCTTTTTATATAATAATGTATTTTTTAAAATATTCTTATATTTATTTTTAATTATATACAAAAATATAAATAAATATATATGTATATATATATATATATATATATATATATAATATATATTTATTTATTTTTATTATTTTATTATGCATTTAATATATATAAAATAAATATATATTTATATTATTCAAAAACTCTTTTTTTATTTAAAATTATCATATTTACCATTATTAGCATCATCATCAGCATCATCGTCTTCATCATCGTCATCATCACAGAAATCTTAATTATCATCATCATCTTAATCTTCGTAGTCTTCCTCATTATCATCTTAATTAAACTAGAAATCTTACATTATTTGTCCTTAATTGATACCTTAACCTTTAAAAAATATTAATATATATACTATATATATATATATATTTTTACAATTATCATTTTGTTATTATTCTCCATTTTTCATTTCTCCGTTTTATTCTATTCTATTTTTTTTATAAAATTCAGTTAAAAAAGCATGCATATCATCAACTTCATATAAATCGATAGTCCCGCAATCTGGTTTATTATGAAAAATTTCATGACAAACCCTACAACAGGTTTACTTATGATCAATACATAAAAAATGTTTTATTCTATCATAATGATATTCGCACCACTCTAAGCCTGTTTCTTCGTCTACTCTTGGAGGCATTTTTTAAGGCAAGCCGTCAGGACCTAAAGGATATGATTATTCATTTAATTATTAAGCCCTTTTCTTAGCCTCAATAGAACTTGCTTCAAATTATTAGTATAAAGCAGCTTTTGCATCAATTATATCCTATTTATAAATTAAAAAAAATAAAATTATAGATATATATATATATATATATATATATATATATATATATATTTATATTTTTATATTTTTATATATTATTTTATATTATTTTTTTACTTTTCCTTATTCTTTGTTTTGCAAGTTTAATACATTAATCATTTTTGTAAATATTGTATGGTTTACTGGTAATCTTTCAACTGTGTCTATATATTTTACTAATTTTAAACATAAAGGACATCTAACTCTTTTGTTTCTATGGAAGTTCTTTATACAAGAAGTACATAAAGTATGACCACAATGAATTAGAATTCTTGGAATATTAACTGTAAAATTATAACTTTATTTGCATAGTACACATTAGTCTAAATTTATTAATTTTTTAATAAATTAGTCTATTTTATCAGTATAGTCGTCTTGTAAATTTTAAGCCTGGGTAAAAAAAAAATTTGTTGGGTTTTATATTTTAGTGTTTATTTGCATTTTATTTGTTTTTTAAAATAAAGCAATTTTATATTTATAATTATTTTTAAGTTAATTTTAAATTTTTTTTTTCCCTTTATTTATTTGATAAATAAAATTTTTTATATATTTAAACAAAAATAATATTTTATAAAAAAAAATAGTTTATATATTAACAAAAATAAATAAAATTTATATTTTTTTGTTAAATTATATATATAAAAGATAATTTATATTTAAAAATAAAAAAAATTAATAAAATTTTTAAAATTTTTTATATAAAAATAAAATTAAATAAATAATAATATTATTATTGTAATAATATTATACTTTGTAATACATATATTTTTTAAGTTAAACTATATATATTTATTTAAAACTGTTTTATTTTTTAAATAAAAATAAAAAATAAATAATTAAATTAATATTTAAAATAAATATAATATAAAGTATATAAATATAATTTTTTTATACAAAAAGAAATTAAAAATTATAAAATTTATTTATTATTTTTTAAAATTTTAAATATAAAATATTAATTTTAAGATAATATTATATTTATAGATTAATAAACAAATATATATATATATATAT